AACATAAACATATACACTTACTCACATGCATATACAGATAGGTATACACACAAAGCTTTCAAACAAGTACCATAAACACACACTTGGTGATTTACACTTATGAATTTACATTTTTTTCTTCTTTCTTTCTTTTTTAGAAGACTGTATACTATTGGATTTACCCTCTCAGGTCAATCACACTTGCTAATATATGTTAATATGTTACAGTGCCAGGAGGTAACAATCAGCGTCCAGAATATACGTCACAGATGCAGGTAGCAGCAGCAACAGGACAGCCTATTCTAGCGCCAGCACCCATGAACACTCAGCCACAGGCGATAACTGCTGTTCAGATACCACAGAATATGTTGCCACAGACACCAGCACATTATCAGGTATGAATATTAATGAAGGAAGTACTATTTTTCCCTTTATACAGTCATCTTACTTCAATTATTCCATTCTTTGCTGTTTATATGACTTTGTTGCAAGGTCAGGAGTTTAATGAACTTGAAATGCACTTTATGGAGATCATATAATTTGTTACAAAGATTATTTTATTAGTTTAAACATATACCTTCAAATGATTTTATTTTGGTTTCCTTAGTTTTTAAATAACTAAAAAAAATTCTTTGCACAATATCCAGTTTTTAAATGGCTATCAATTTTTCTTTGCAGCAATACCCAGGGATGCATATGATACCAGTACGGTTTCCTCCCACTGGAATGCAAATGGTAACGGCAGTGGTGCCAACATCAGTGGGAATGTATCATCAGAATGCAGAGTCCCAGCAGCAATCACAGCAACATAGTCATCAAACTATGTTTATGGCTTCCACTACCCTCCCGCCCCACCAGCCACATCCTACTCACACTCCAGGTCCTGGCCCACAACCAGCGCAACCACCAACTCCGCAGAATCCAGGAGGAGGTGGTGGGCCTCCAAACATGCCAACACAGCCTCCTACACCTGGACCTACTCCACCACAGCCTCTAATTTATCCACCCCACATGGCCGGACAACCATCTCTGCCTCAACACTTGTCGCAACACTCTCCTCATACAGCCCCATCACCCCATGCTCACCAGTATCCTGGTCAGAATGCAGCAGCTGCTGGACACCATGGAGGGCCTGGTCAGCAGATGACTACCCAGATTGTGATGCTACCCCCCAGCATGCAAGCAGGTCCACACATGATACACCCTTCAGGACCACCTCCACATTCTGCTACAGCACACATTCCCTCCTCCATGGCGGGCTTTACTCCCACTTCATCTGCCGCTGTACAGCACATGCCTTCAGCCCCTCATATTCAATACATGCAAGGTAAGCACCCACGGTTCCCACACTGAGGTGCTACCTGGTTTAGGCAAAGAAAGGGAATAAAAAAGTTTTATCAGCAATGAAAGAGGTAGTTCCTCACTGAATATTGCATTCTGATGTAAAAATATTTGAATGCCTATGTAAAATCTGTATAAATTACTTGAATTTATAGTAAACCTGTGTGAATATATGTCACATATCTGAACCTTGGCATATCTGGCATTGTGAAGGGAGACGATGCTTGTGAGCTGAGATGGTGTTTGTGCCCACAGGTACACCCGGCAGCCATCATCACTTGCCCATTGTCCATCACAGCCAATGAAGCCTGGGCTTAGTAGGAGTAAATCTGCACCATCCCCAGCCTTCAGTTGTGTCTGCCTGAGTGTTTGGCCTTTGTGCAGAGTGGGAATTTCTCTGCATAGTGAAATTGGGGATGTTATGTTACTGTTGTCATGTTGAGAGATGTATCTAGGGTAGCTTGGTTACTACACTGATCACTATACACTACTACTCTGATATGGCTATTGTCATACCAGTTATGTGCAAAGCATTAGGAGGGTGGGGAGTTGTTTCCTAAATTTTTTGTTTATATTTAATGAAACCAATGGGAAGTTATGCAAGGGTAATTAATATACGGGTATGCTACCTTTTTTTCTTTAAGTTTTAGTGTTTCTGGAAAGTTTCATGATACATAAGTAAAAGGGACAGTTGCTATCATAGACACAAGCAGTCAATATATAGCTATATGCTTTTTGACAGGGAGGTCGGTATTTATTGTTGCGTTAAGAAGAGGGATAACATTTTAAAGTGACTACTTTTGAAAGGTAGCTCTCAGATTTGTAGGAGTAGTGTAATATTTTTATTTAAAGATAAAAGAAGTTCATGTGGTATGGGACAATATCAGATGCAGAGTTTAGATGCTATTGATGCCAAGTATCAGGTAGGCAGACTGGAGAGCTGGGTGATGTAGTTGTGATGTCCAGGTGATATATGTCACATGGATTTATCAGTAAAAAAAGTATTTATTGATTAGCAATATTCTATGAGAGACAGAATGAATGAGGGGCCAGTCAGACAGCTAGCCCAACAAAATTAAACATGAAGTGTGATTTGCCTTATCATGTTTTGAAGTAAGTCTCAGTAAATTGAATCTGTGTTGTGACGTGTAATGGAAAGCCATACAGAAGTGTTGATACCAAGGGCTCTTTTGTCACACCATATTTTGTACTGACTTGCTAAAAGGCATCTCAAACTCCCCTCCCCTACTTCCCTAGCCCCACATTCTTCAAAAGAATCATGTGGAATGATTTGGAGTCTGACTGGGATGATTATGTGGCCATTACAAACATTCAACCTTTTCCTTTTCACATTGTTGAATTTCTATTCATTTACATCTAGATCAGGATACAAAGCTGTGCAGTAGTGGTGATGACTGTGTACAGTTTGGTGTCCAGCAGCTGGCTGGTGATACTGCGGCAGCAATGCTTACTTTTCTCTGAAAACAAAAGTAAGCTGTTTTATATACACCTCTTTTTTATAAGTTGCCTAGCTAAAATTACTTGCCTCTATTTCTTGACTTTCTGTCTTACCAAATCTCTTGGGCAAATGTGGTAAGCTCACAGAATGAAATTAGCAAGTATGGGCAAAACAAGGAGTATCAGTGGCGATCAGAATGCTGTCAGTTTGGAAAATAAATTTGTAATAAAAATGTCACTCCATTTCCATAAGTAAATAAAAGTGGAGAAACAACATTAATATGCATACTTGTTTTTTTTTTCGTTTTTATGTATTACTGTTTTCTTTTTTTCATCAGAAACGAAACCATGTGTAATATTTTGCTGATGCATTACGTTACATTTTTTTGTATAAAGCTTTTCCACTTCATCATCTGTTACTGCTCTACGACGTTCTGTGTACATGACAGCAAAGTCCTGTTACTCATGGCAGAGAACTGAACAGCCTCTGCAAAAACAAGAGGTGAGAAATTGAAAAAAATGGAATAAATTCCAAAAATCACTATTTAAAAACAAAATCAAACAGAGGCCAAGATATGGTAAAGGGAATAATTTGTTTGGCTATTTGTTCCACCTCTTGTAATGGGAAAATGTAGAATATGACAGCTAAACATGTGATGCATTGTTAAAAATTCATGCTGTTTATTATTTATGTCTTGTGTATGATACACTTGGTTACTTAAAAACCACCTTATGAGAACATTCAGACCTTACAAGGTATTTTACATTATTCAGTTGTTTTTGTTCCATACGAGAGAGAAATTGATATGCAACTGAATAAATAAAAATAAAAACAATTTGTATGAAGAAAAAAATTTGAAGATCATTTGCTTTGTGAGCAGAGAATTGTACAAGATATTTAAGTATGTTGGAGTGGATGGTATGTGTTTGAGAGTTTTGCGCTAGTGTGGAAGTATGAAAGAGTGAATATTGCATGCGTTCAGATGCCAGTGTGAACTGTGTACAGCATTAGTAAAACTGTTCCCCTGTTCTGTAACTCCCTTCACTACTATCTTTTCTCTTATTTTTCCTTATTCGTTGATGTGTCTGTGGGCGAGTGTCACTATTTATTACTACAAGAATGAATCACCTACCAAGGATTCAACCAGTGATAACTTTATTCTTGCAGATACACTGAGAATAGCTAGATATTTTTCTTAGTTACTGGTGTTGCAGGCAGTTGAAAGTAACGAGAGATGCAGGGCAGTCACTTTAAACTTGTACATTTAGGGTTTTATAGGAAGTGCTTCTTTTATTTAGTATTATTTACATCAATATAATGTTTCCAAGAAGGATAACATTATCAGAATTTACTCTTATATTGATTAGTTTGATTACATATGATTTTAACCTTAAATTTTCAATGTTTGAAACTGTGTTTGAGAGAGAATCCACAGATACACTTTTAACAAAGTCTGCCACTGCATAAGCTAGATTATTTTTTTCTTATTCCCTCTTCTCAACTATAACTGCATGCAAATGTGCTAGTAAGCTGAAACGATTGTTCTTTTTTATTTTTTTATTTACTTTTTTCATATAGATTCCCTTAATTTTGTATTAACTGCCTGCCTCCATTTTCCTCCCTACACCATTTCCTGCATCTCTCCTATAATTTCTCTTCTCTCTTTTGCAAGGAAATTAATCCTTTTCTTTACTGCCACAACAGGAGTCGTCAGGGCGCAGCATATGTAGATGTTGAAGTTAAACACTGACTTCACTGCTAAAGATGTAGGTCTCTCACTTCTCTCTTGCAGGGGAATGTATGATGCTGTATCATTCTTGTAGCAATCTTTCTTTGTATTTTTTTTATTTTTATTTTTATTATTATTTTTTTTATTTCATTATGATATTAAAGTCGGAAGTTTTTATATGTGAACATTGAAGGATTTATATATGAAGTTTAAAAAGAAACATTGTTGAATAGATATGGAAAATTACTAAACTGAAAGTTATATGTATTAAGATATTTAGAATGGGAGAAAAACAAGCAGGGTTATAATAAAAAGAACATGTTATGAATGGGAAGGAGCGTGAAGGGTTTCATCTCTCTTAATGTATTGTGCCACCAATATTGTTATCAAACAGGAACACGGAAAAAGTTGGCAATAACACTAAAAGACGTGATGCCCAGTACTCGAAACTATTGAGAATGTAGTCAAAAATACAAAAGGAAACTTCCCATTGTGTAGCAGCTGAAACTCACAGCTAAAGGCTATAAATAAAGAGAAAAGTTTATAAGGTATATTTTTAACCTTTTATGTCGAGTCAAGTTATTTTACTATCATTTCCCCTCCAGTCCCATGCCCATGTCCAAATGAGGGGATCATAGGGGTCCTAGCTTGGACTTCAGCCCTTGCCTCAACCAATTTTGCATGGTCTTCTGTCCAGTGTGAGCCATGCTGAAAGGAGTTAAGGCTGGCTTTGTGTCAGTCCCAAATGGCCTTTGTACTCTGTTTACTCTTCCCTCTTTACCCTTCTCACTACTAATATAGCCAGCAGTACTTTACTAATATTTGACCTGATCATTAATTAGTTTTTACCTTTTTTCCATATTGTATATTGTATGATGCCTTCTTACCTGGGGACAGTGTGCCTCAGGTAAGTCACCATATTGTTATATTTTGAATACACCACTAAATAACCTTAGATAACAATTTCTTCAGTAAATATTACTAGTTTTTATATACTTTTCTGAGCATTTCCAGAATTTACTTTATACCTAGCAGGTTAAATCTGGCTCTACTCGTGAAAGCCAACAAAGTATTATAGTAGAGGACATTTAAACAATATTTGAATCACTGGGATAGTTAAAACTTACAAATTACAAGCTTTAAGCAGACCTTAGTGGGAGTGCAATTTAAGTGATATAAAAGTCAATGTGCAGGAGGACAAAAAAATATATACAATATGCTAGAATCATGTTATTTCTGTTTGTAATACTCAAGTACAATCTATATGAATTCATGATTTTATTGTATTAAGTACTGAATTTTGTAAATCATAAATGTACTTTTAAGGCTGGGTGGGTTCAGGTGCCTGGTTTCTGATGAAGTGATACAGAAATCAACATTTCCTGGTGATGCTGCTGATTATGATCAAAGTATTCCTAGCATATTGAGGTGATGACCAGTAGGACCACAAGTCAAAGCAATGTGTCAACTAGTGTCTACCCTAATTAATTTTACAGATGAACTAGGAAGCACCTAGAATGCTCGATATATGCATGAACATAGGCATATCCACAAGAGGTTTTATATACATGTACATGTATATATTTGTTAAATTCTACATTGAAAGTCAGAGTAATCAAAATATAGAGGGTGAGGTTTGTAGATTTGTAGACAGAAGGGGATGAAGAGAAAAAAGATACAAAATTAGTGGAGGCAATGACTAGGAATGAGGTAAGGGTGACCCCTCCCACATTTGACCAGTGTTCATCTCCTAAGCACCCCCCCCCACAACATTCAGCAAACTAGGGGGGGGGGGAGTAGGGAATAGTATTTGAAAAGCTAATTTAGACTGCAAGGTAATTTTTCCTAAAATTCAATTTAACAGTGATGGCTCTCAAGCCGATTGTTAATACTTCTCGTAGTATGCGCTTAATTCAGTCTTTGCCAGTATTTGAGTATACATTTATACATTTCATTTACCAATTGAATAGTGTCACTTATGTAGCCTATCTCACTTTTCCATTCCATAAGGCTTTTTATTCATGTATCTCATTGTAGTTAAGATTTTTTTTTATTTACCACTGCACTGATCAGTTTTCCTATCAAAATTGGCAATTTAGGTTTTTACAAATTTAATGCCATACATAAGCATCTTTCTCACTTTTGCATTTTGGTATGTGGCCTGAAAGTTTCTACCATTACCCCTCTAATAATGGGAGTTTGCACAATCCTGGCCTCTAGTTGACGTCAAGTGCATCCAAAATGCCAGGTCAGGTTAGTAATGGTTCATTTCTGTATTGGATATTCCGATTCTGAGCATACATTGTAAACATTTGGCTGGGCCTTCAGGCCTTTCCACGCAAGTAGGCATGATCAGCAGCAGATTCATAGGCAGACAAACTACTCTAAACAAGTAGTTTACTCGCCTATTATTTCACCTACTGTTGCCTACTGATGTGGACAGGCCCGAAGAAGTTTATCCATACTAAAGAATATGCTTTCTAGTTATCCATTTTGTTAAGTAGGTGGTACTTGCATGCCCACATTATGTCTGGCAATGTCAAACAAATTTAATTACAGGCATAAGCAATGTCAATTCCTGCAGTGTACTTCCATGTGTTTGGCTGCTCTAGGGGTTTAGCTGCACAACTATTCCACAATGCAAATTCGCCGATACTGGTCTCAATTTCAAAGCTTATATTCTGACTTCATGCAAAACCAAGGTTCCTAGTAGAAGACTCATGTTATACACAATTATTCTTTAATGGTATGACTCCATTCCCATTATTCATAATGGCTAACTTCATATTTCTTCCCAGGGAGGGGGGGGGGGCTATTTCCAAGAACCGCCTAAAAACTGATTGGAAAAACATTTACTTCCAAATTCCATAAATATAAAACTTTGGTTCAGGGTAATAAAATATTTGTATACATTTCCAGATTTTATTGGAAAATATGGATTTAACCGAAGAGACCTGAAATGAGAAAAATTATCGGTAAGAAGCAGAAAATTGACAAATATATACAAATGTTCATGAATACAGAATAACACTGACTAAAATATCAATTTTATACTTACTGAAGCCCATGTCGTCATCAGATTCCTCAGCCTCCTCTTCCTTCTCTTCCTTCTTGGCTTCAGCAGCAGGTGCTATAAAATTTTTAAATATTAGTTTACGGCATGAAAATATATGAACACTTGTTGCTTCCAATAAAGATATCAGTAAAGGTTAAGTTGTAATCAAAGGGTTTCAGGTGAAACACGGTATAGTGCATCATGTTGCTCACTTATCTAAGTTTAAAAATTTGCAATTTAACTTACCACTGGCAGCTGCAGCAGCTGCAGGGGCAGCACCACCGCCACCACCACCAGTTCCTACACCAGAGCCAACGTTGGCAACAAGAGCCTTGATGTCCAGGCCAGATACAGCCTTGGCAAAGAGACCAGGCCAGTAGGGCTCAACAGTGACACTGGCAGCCTTCAGGATGGTGTTGATCTTTTCCACCTAGAGAGAATTAATTTTTTTTTTTAGAAGAATATTCTAGTATACCACAAGAACAAACTGCCTTGTCAATTTCTCAGTTGTAAAAATAGTGTAATCACAGAAGTTCAGGTGAAACACGGTAAATCATCATGAAAAATCAATTTCACATTAAAATTTTTAATACCCATATATATTAACCAGCTGCATGCAGCTGTCATTTTTACCAAGATGAACAACCAAATACCAAGTAACATGTATTTATGCCAAGTCAAATTATTGAACAGTGCTTAATAGGCCTCGACTAATCATTACGATGCTTGCCGATTTAGCCTTATTTCCACATCCCCCCCCCCCCCACACTTAGTGGCTGACACTGGCTCGGTAAGACAGGAAATACTATAACCGAGTTAAGAAAAATCAGCTAGTAAAGAACTCAAGTGCACCTTTCCCAAACTAAATTATAAGTTTGCAATATTTCTACTTTCTACTAATAACCTCCAACTTTTAGTATTGTTACAAATGAAAAACTGGCTGACTGCCACAAATGTACTGATAGGTTTATGTTACCCAGATTGACAAGGAAATTTACACCATCTTAAAGAGTATGAAATTGTTAAACAGGTAAACCTGCTGTAGCCCCTTGTTTACTGCAAACTGACAAATCTGATGCATTACACCAAACTAAATTCCACAGCACCCCCACTGTTTTCAGCTCCATTCTGATTAATGATGGATTAAGTGCATTTCATCCACATTACAAGCCATTAGTTTCAAAGCCAATTACAAAAATAAGTACAAGTTTACAAGAGCAACGTGCACAGATAAAGGGGAATGGACACCGCCATCTTTTAAGATTAAGAAGCAGTTTAAGCTGGAGCAGCCTTATTTATCTTTAATGGACGTAAATGTCCAATGCACATCACCACTCAGACCCAAGTCCCCAACACCCTCACACAGCCAGAGTTCTCAATACCCATTTTCTGTAAGTCAACATGGAGTGCTATTAAATGGTGGGTATAGGGGGGTATAGAGGGGTCTAGAGAATAGAAGGGTAGGAAAGGTTAGGTTGTGTTTTTGGGGCTACATGATACCCGGGTTTTGGAACCGTCTCTGGATGGTGTGACACTCGGTAACAATTACCATAAATCTAATATTAGTCTAACCAATTACATATGCGTGTAGTAAAAAAAATTTTTTTTTGGTTGATCCTTACAGTGTGGGCATACTAAGGTAGGGCAAATTGAAGACCATATTCTTGTAAAGATGAAAATTGTATTTGTTAGTACAAGAGATCTGCAGACAAACAGCAATGCGCCACAAAGGAAAACTACCAAGAAAAGGACTGCTCAGAGCCAAAGTCCACTCAGTAAGCCTGAACTTCAGTTCTATCTTTCCATTCATACTAGGTGAAGAGTGCACTTCCCTGGGGATGTGCTAATATGTTAAATTAACTCCTTAATCTAAAAATCCAAATCTTATTTGACCATAAATTTGTCTACTTCCACCTAATTTAAATCTGTATTCGTCTTAGTAAAGCAAATTCTCTCAGTGCCAAGGACACCATATTAATTCCTCTGCTTTTATTCAGTTGGCTACTCAAGAAAAGAAAATAGACAACACTTCAATAGGATTCTTGGTTGCAGCATATACAAATTCCTGTAAACAAGGCTAAATAGGTTGGTCAAGTTACCAGGAGCAATACACAAATAGAGGGAAATAGAGCCCTTAGAAATTGACAGGTAAATTTAAAAACTAGAATATATTTTAAATAGAATAATTAATGGTCTGCAAATCTTTGTAGTAGTATTCAGTGAAGTAGGAATTTTTCTTGTACCCAAGCAGACGTCTCTTTGCTTAAAGTCATTAAAGTATCACTGCCTGATGTCAGTGATAGTTGGAAGGCATGTAACTGTGCATAAAAGGCTATCAGTATTTAACTTGATCATTTGTATAATTTTGACGACCCCCAAAAAAGCACCCAGCTCTGGCAAGACGAGATACCACTTCAATGGATTATCTGGCAAGGGCCATTTTCCTAATGGCATACCCAAAAGATTTCACCAATTCCCCTTGCCTGAGT